CATGAGTTTTAAAATATCGGCATATCGGATATCGGCCAAAATCCCAATATCGTGCATCCCCAGTAAATAGACTAGATTTAAGAAATTTCTACTTATTTCTAGATTGTTTTTCCAGTGAATCTAGCTTGTCATTTTCTCTTTAGTAACCATAGCAAGATACTTTAAATGCCTGAACAGGTGACTGTGTCTTTAAGTTTGCCATTGGCTTATATCAAGCCTTACACCTTCTTCTTTTTTCCATTCTCTATTGTTCTGCATTCCTCTCGCTATCAGCAACAGGTGAAGTCTGTCTGGTCAGACCAGTTTCTCTTCTCTTCTCTTCTCTTCTCGTATAAACAACAGCTCCACCTTTTAAAGATGCCATACAGGAAAAGAGTAAAGGGGTTTTCTCCTGTGTTGCTACTTGGCATCTTTCTCCAGCAACAATAATGTCAAGGTGCCAAAAGCATGAAACAGCTTTTCCACAGAGGAGGATGGGAAAATCTTCTGCAAAGCCACACTAGCTGGCTTCCTGTCTGGTTCCCATGTATTACAGTCTGATACTGGATATTGAAACTGGATTTATTAACAGCTTATGGTGGAGTTTGCGTCACATGTTTCCAGACCACAGCATATCCTATCCAGCTCAGATCCAGATACCAAGACCTTTTAAAAAAAGCTGAAATGAAGAGCATTGCTGTAAAGGTTTTGCTTTGTCTAAAAATATATTAAAGTTAAAGTATGACCCTCTTTCAATAGAGGGAGTAAACTAATCATTAATTAGATTGTTAGGATCAGTTTCCAGCCTCCTTTTTTTTTTTTTTTTTAAAGCTTTTGCCTTCTTTAAACCTTATTTAAAAGAGTCTTCCTACTTGTCCTGCTGGTAAAATGATTTTAACAGCAGAAGGGAATGAATTGTCATAAAAAAAGCTTCAATTATATTTTAAAAAGGCCAAACTATAGTATAGCTGATATTCACTTGTCTAAATGAGCCACAGACTTTAGTCTCTGTTCTTCCTCTGCCTTCACTTTTAACCCTGTAATGCCAAATGTATCATATTTACGGAAGAGGATTAGGGCCACTGAGAAAAAAAAAAGTTTTTCATTTTATTTCAGTATAGCATGGGAAAAAAGTCAGAATTCTGACTTTAATCTCAGAATTCTGACT